GCACATGTGAGCTTTCAACACATGCTTATTAAGTAAATGAAAGCCTAGGTGGCTTTTCCTCCTATTTTTTCCCCATAGCACCTTGGGCTTACCTGTGCCAAGTAACTTTTGCTCTATATTCTAATAACTTGTGTATTTGTTTTCTCAAAATGAACTTTTTATGATAGGGCTTAGTTCTTGTCCACCAGTTTGTCTCCACACTAGCACAGCATGTGGCACACCATAGGTGCTTAATAAATGCTGGTGGAATAAATAACGGGTGGACTTTTGTGGGTTCCTTGGGTTCAGAAATGTCCTGGCCATCCATCTCAAGCTCTCTTCTTCTATGGATTCTAAATACTTCATGTATGTCTTAGGAAGGTGCTCTCTGTGTTAGGATTATTGTTTAGTTTCATTTGAGAAAAGGTGGGGAGAAAGATCATTCTGGTGGTGGTAAGGATCTCATGAAAATGTCTTTGACAGAAATTAGTACCAGAGGTCTTAGACACAAAAGGTTTGTGAGTAAATGTACTCTCCATACAAACGGAAGTCTTTATGCATTTTGTCTAAGGATTAGTCAGAGGTAAATTAAAATTACCTACTGATTGAAAGAAAAGAAGCATGGTATAGTGAAAAATGGCAATAGATTCAGGAGGGTGTGGGCCTAGACCTACTTCTGTCTCTAGGATATTCCGTCTCATGAAAATGTTCCCTTAACTGCAAAATAACTAGGGGCGTAACAAGAGCCTTTGTCTCTAACAGCCATGTCAAATTTTTTTTCTGAGTTTATATTTTGTAATTCACATTTAAAACATTTTTATCTCAACTTTGGTTATATTTAGGTTCATGATAAGTAAAACCACATTTCAGGAAATACCTTTTTTTCCTTTTGTTTAAGGCACAGTTTCCATGTATTCTGCCCTTTCCCTCCTTCACATGCCCTGTCTGCCTCCCTTATACCCCCTTTCCTATCTTTGTTTCTCAAGGGAAGTTGCATTTGGATATTCTTAATTCATTTCCAGGTGCTTCCAAAAATATTATGTTGTTAGAATGACTTGTTATTTAAAATGCCAGTTCTTTAAACCTATGGAAAGGATGAATGAAGTTGATAGCTTTGTGTTTTAGAAGATATTTTATTTCACTAGCGCCCCTACAGAGCGCTCTTGATTTGGGCTGTATCTTCTGATCCTAACACATAGAGATCCTACCACCTTGTTCTTTTTTTTTTAAATTCTTTATTGTTTAAAGTATTACATGAGTCTCCTCCCCCCGCCCCCATTGACCTCTCCCCCACAACCCTCTCCCAAACACAAGCCCTCACCACTGTCTGTGTCCATTGATTTTGCTCATATGCATACATACAAGTCCTTTGCTTGATCATTTATCCCCTCAACCGCCCCCCCCAACCACCACCACCACCACCACCACAACCACCACCGCCGCCTTTCCTCATAGGTTGTACAGTCTGTTCGATGCTTCTATGTCTCTGGTTCTATTTTTGTTCATCAGTTTATATTGTTCATTATATTACACAAATGAGTGAGATCATGTGATATTTATCTTTCTCTGACTGGCTTATTTCGCTTAACATAATGCTCTCTAGTTCCATCCATGCTGTTGCAAATGATAATAATTCCTTCTTTTTCTTGTCCACTTGGCCTTGTACCCCATTTGTAATCCTCTCTGTGAGGTGTTTGTTTCCTCTGTATTTTCCACCTGCCATCTTTGACTCCATGCTCCTCCTCCTCAGTGCTCCTCCTCACCAGTGCTGTCCGTGTCAGTGACTCATGAATGGCAGTTACAGCCATGCGTCAGTTCTGTGTGGCCTCTGAAACAAACAGTGTTGTGTGAGTTGCTCCTCTCCTCTGCGGTAGAGTGGAAGAGGACCTGCCTGACACTGTGGGAAGAGGCAAGCCTGAGAAGAAGCCTTATAGGACACCTAGTGATTTAGTTACATTTGATCATCAAGAAAGCCACCAGTTATCACCGTGCCTTAGCAGAAGAGTGCATGTGTCCAGACAAACAGGGAAAACCATTGCACTCCAGCTCCAGGGAAACCAAGCTCCCTCTTCAGTGAGCACCCAGGGACTGCGCTGCAGCATCTCACCGTTAGCCCTCGGGTGTGCAGAGGCCATCCATCCAGACTACAGATGCTGGCCCCTCCGGAGAGCATCTGTAACAGCAAGCAGTTTGTCACCTCATCCTCTTGCCCTTAGCCTGCCAGGCATAGGGGGAGGGATTATTAGGACAAAAGGACTGGTCTGTCACTCAGAAGATCCAATTGGAAGAACGCACAGCATTCCTTCTACACTCGTTGTCCTAATGAGGGGAGATAGTGTAGCAAGTTCAACCATAAAAAGCCGTTTATCTGAAGTAATTTTCCAGCCATCTCTATATGCTTTGAGTTAAATTCCTCACAGTTAAGGGGGTTTATGTGGATTTGATTTTTCCTTATAGTTTATCTTTTAGTTTAAATAAGTATAACTATCTTTCCTCTTTTGTTATCGTATCCATTGAGTTTCCTACAAGCTTGGAGCATGTGGAAACATCTCAACTGCAGCATATTAATTTTTGTTGTGAAAACCATGATTTGGAAAAAAAATATTACCATATGTAAGTTTTTAGGAATACCAGCACTTTATTTCTAGCTTAATTTTGTTTAGAAATGAGCATGCTTTTAAAAAAATCCCCTCAAAGTGCTTTATAGTATACATCACTTTTTTAACTAAAGTAAATTTATTTTTTTTTATTTTTTAATTTTTTAATATGTTTTATTGATTTTTTACAGAGAGGAAGGGAGAGAGATAGAGAGTTAGAAACATCAATGAGAGAGAAATATCGATCAGCTGCCTCCTGCACATCTCCCACTGGGGATGTGCCCGCAACCCAAGTACATGCCCTTGACCGGAATCGAACCCGGGACCCTTCAGTCCGCAGGCCGACGCTCTATCCACTGAGCCAAACCGGTTTCGGCAAATTTATTTTTTATGTTTTAAACTTTTTGTTTCCACAAGGTAAAGAGGGTTGGAGTGGAATCCAGTCCCAGAAATACCCTGCTTAGCTCCTTGATTTTGAACCCTTCACTCAGCATGTCTCAGCATTCTTCAATTTATGTATTAAATTGTCCTGGGGATATCTTTTCTCAAGTCATCATGAAAAACTAATGAAATGAGATAATATATGTGAAAGTTCTTGAAAAGTTAACAAAGAGGGTCCTCAAAGAGTTAGAAACAAAAGTAAACTTATTCACACTTATTTAGTTATCATTTAAACACATATGGTGTTCTAGAGTTTATCGTTTCCTGGTATCCCAGAATTTATTTCCAAATGTCTCCCGCATGTAAGATAAAAATATAATTTATCCAAACTAACAAGTTGTTTGACAATTTTGGTCACCAGTGTTCGGATGAACTTGTGATATATGTTTAAATTATTTTAAATGTCAGTGATTTAAACTGCAGTGATTACCAGCATTCACTGAAGTGCTAGGAAAAGGCACAGTAACGGAGAATTAACTAATAACATACAAGGAAGGTGCAAAAGATTTATATAAACATTTGGGAAAAAGCAGGTTAATGACCTGTACACTTTCCCTAAAATATTCTTAAGTCCATGTATTAGATCCCCAAACACATTTATAGAATACAGACTTAGTGACTTTTTCTTAATCTTATCTAATAAAAGACAAAAAGGGTAATTAACCGTACCTCCACTACGCTTCCCATTGGCTAATCAGGGCGATATGCAAATTAACTGCCAACAAAGATGGCGGCCAGCAGCCACACAGCTGAAGTGAACATGAGGCTTGCTTACTCCAATGATGGAGGAAGCCAAGGTTCCCCGCCTGCTGCGGCCCGGCTCTGAGCTCCGGAAGCAACAAAGTTTCAATTATAGAAGCTAAACAAACCCCAGATACCTGCTTTCAGCCGGCCACAGCCTCAGAGCTGGGAGCGCCAGTGATGGCAACAGAGTTTCAATTATAGAAGGTAAATAAATCCCAGAATAAAAAAAAAAAAAAAAGGAGAGGCTGGGAGCTTCAGTCGCCCGCCAGCCTGCAAACGGCCCTCAGCCCCTCACCCAGACTGGCCAGGCACCCCAGTGGGGACCCCCACCCTAAAGGGGGTGTGGCCAGCCTGAAAACAGCCATCATCCCCTCATCCAGGCTGGCCAGGCACCCCAGTGGGGACCCCCACCCTGAAGGGGGTGTGACCAGCTGCAGACAGCCATCAGCCCCTCACCCAGGCTGGCCAGGCACCCCAGCGGGACCCCCACCCTGATCCGGGACACCCTTCAAGGCAAACCAGCCAGCCCCCACCTGTGCACCAGGCCTCTCTCCTATACAGTAAAAGTGTAATATGCAAACTGACCCTAACAGCAGAATGACTGGGAATGACTGGTCACTATGACACACACTGACCACTGGGGGCCAGACGCTCAATGCAGGAGCTGCCCTCTGGTGGTCAGTGCGCTCTCACATGGGGGAGCTCTGCTCAGCCACAAGCCAGGCTGATGGCTGCCAGTATAGCGGTGGTGGTGGGAGCCTCTCCTGCCTCCTCAGCAGCGCTAAGGATGTCCGACTGCAGCTTAGGCCTGCTCCCCGCTGGCAAGTGGACATCCCCCGAGGGGTCCCAGACTGTAAGAGGACACAGGCCAGGCTGAGGGACCCCCCCGCCCCCAGTGCACAAATTTTTGTGCACCGGGCCTCTAGTCTTATTATAATAACACATTTACAAAACATTTTATACTACACATTTAGCATTCTGTCCTAAGATTTCGTCAGCTGTTCTAGGTGGTTATATGTTTATGTGACCTAAAATTGCTGTTGCCTTGAAAAAAAAACTTACCTCCTCCACCGTAAGAAGTTGCCCATCTGTTAATCTCACAAACATCAACTGAGATGCTGGGGGGATGGTAAAGTTTTGGTGTTGCTCCTAGGTTTCAATCTCCTCCATGACTCTCTTCTTTCATTCTTTCTTCTTCCTCTCCTGACTTTGTCAACCTCTCTTCCTCTTTGCCTCTAGGGAGAAGCCCCCAGTGGAGGACAGTCATTGAAACACTACATGGAAGAAGTGAGTTTTAAGGTGGCCTGTAACACAGTCTGAAAACAGTCTATCTATCATATAGGATGAAACCCTCACGTGGGCTTTCTCCATCCGCCTGTAGGGTTTCCAGTCTATGCCCACTCTTTGGTCATGCCCACAGAAACAGGGTAACAAATAATGGTATAAAAATGGCTTTTGGTCCTCATTGGTAGGGAGATACGGTGTGTCAATTCATCCTGAAAATGAAGGTATAAACCTAGTACTATTATGTATTTTCACTCATAAACATTTGCTAATATCCTAGTAAATGAAAAACACATGCTTTTTGTTGGCCATGTCCAAAAAAGTAAGACATGATCATTGCTCTTATGACAAGAACAATCTATACCAACTGTCTTAACAATTTAAATATGTAGATATTTGTGGAAAACCCATTTAGACTTCTGATTTATTTGGAAGATATCCAAGGGTGCTCTGCGTCACATGCTGTGTCTTTGTGCAGTTTGCAAATGGAATTTGGGGACTTTCAGGTAAACCAGTGCATAGAATCCGTAAAACTTGATCTGAAACCAATCCACAGAGGTCACTAAATTAGTCACCTGAATTGTTGCAGGTGAAGGGATCTGGGAGACAACTTGGTGATGATGTCATGGAAGCACCAAGTATTTGGTTCTCAGCAAGACAATCTGTGTCTCTAATTAGTCTATTCTCCCATGCACGAATCCATTCAAAAACAATTTTGATTGCCCTACTGAATGTACTGTGTAGTCCATTGATTCATTCAGAATACTGAACCTATACTGAAACTCGCTTTTACTTCTAGATATCACTTGGAAAGAAAAACCAGAGTGAATAGCACCCCTTTAAGTCTCTAACATTCTGAGTTTTCATGCTTGTTTGGGGGTGGTTGGAATTTTGTGAAAGGTACATGGAGAAGGAGTAATGAAGAAAAAAAAGGGAATAGCCAGGCAGATGTTTTAAGTTCAGGTTAGAAAAATCAAAATATATGGGGCAAAACATTGGAGGATTGGAGCACCAACTTTAAATTTCCACTTAATGAATTTGATACAAAAATTGAATAGAATACATTAAGCAATTAATGTTGCCAAGAAGAGGCAGACACTGTTTTCAACATGTGCACCAATAGAATCTCCCTTTAGGATTCTGTTTGCTCAAGCTCTTGGCTCAGCATCCCACTTGCTGGTAGGGGGCCTTGTAATGTGTCCTGTATAGGACTAGCACTGTGGAGGAAAGGGAGCATTGCAGTGTTGATATACGAAATGGGCTGCATATAGCTGATAGAACTTTTAAAGGGTCTTATATTAATTTTGCAGTTCTAAAACAACAACAAAAAAGATCCTTATTTTCCTCATCATTACAAATGTGCAACCTAAATGTACAAGTTGTACACAATTGTAAATGCTCAATGTGACATGAAGGCTGAGAATGTGTACCTTCTCAGTGTGGTGCTCAGACTAGCAACATCGTCATCACCTGAGGTCTTGTAAAAAATGCAAAATCTCAGGGCTTAACACCAGATCCTAAGAATCAAAATCTGCATTCTAACAAGATCCCCATGTAATTCATAAACACCCTAAAGTTTGTAGGCACAACCATAAAGTGTTCTTTCCAACGCTATTTCTACAGAGGAACTTCATACAGCATGGGAAAAAATCAATGTTATATAATATAGGTAGAGGAACATTTTGTTAGTAAATTTATGAGTTTTGTTTATTCATCTACTCTGAGGAATAATATTTTTGGTTGATTCAGGGTATAAAACCTCAGGATCTTATGAGATTCATTACTGACTTTCAGTTTGAGTTTACAAGTATGTGTGAACTACCCAAGGTAAGCCTTGCCTTTCTTAGGGGTTCAATTTCACATAGTAATTTTTATCTAACGTTGGTTGATATTTAGCTTTTAGCTCTTTTTAAAATCAATAAGTGATCATTTTTACAGTAAAACTAAGTTTGATCTTAATTAGTGAACTACTGACTTACTGAAAGTTCTTTTCAGACAATAATTATTGGATCTTTAGGAAATATATTTAAACTCTCCTTTATTGCGAACAAGTTAAAAATGTGAGCCAAAAATTGATAGTTTTTGTTTTTTTCCTCACTTATGCTCTTATTTCACTTTCCCTCTTTCTCATATTCCTAGAATCAGAAAACATTAAGGAACAGTGTGTGTGTGTGTGTGTGTGTGTGTGTGTGTGTATGTGTGTATGTGTGTATGTGTGTGTGTGTGCTTGGGTAGAAATATGGTTGGAGAATATGTTGGATAATGCTTCTAAGTTCCCTTCTACTGTTAAAATTTGAATTCTAGGACACCCATTTTTTATTTTAATGAATGTATAAAGGCATTCTATGGAGGTAAATTTCTGAATTTATTATTTTTAAGCTCTTTAACTGGCTCACATCACTTATCTACTTGGAGATGTTTCCTCTTTTTAAAATGGGAAAATTGTACAGGCAATCTGTCTCACAGGATTGTTGTAATAAACAAAGTTCACACATATGAAACTTTAAGCAATGGTTAAGATATAAATAACAATGTTTTTGTTGCTATTACTATTTTTGCACATACAACACACACACACACACACACACACACACACATGTATTGAAAGCAATTGTCCCATATTTTGGGTCAGGTAGTATAAAATCCTCATATTCTGCTTATAGCCACCAGACTTGTGGTGGACTGTACCTGGAAGGTATACAAGGTGGTAACTTTCAGTGTGTGGTCACTTGTAAGCACTGAGCAAACCAGTTTGCACGACCTAGTAAATATTTCTGAACAGATTGTTGAGCTACTATCAGCTGAGTTTCTGACAATTACTAGGAGCTTCCAACCCCATTAATTATGTGTTCAAAAACACAGCATTTGGCATCTTAAGAACTAATTATTCCCAGTTCCTACTCTTAATTTTTCAGTCTATTATGATTTCTTCATTATGTCCCAATTGTCTGAGTAAGCAGTTTATCTCCCAATATCTCCACTTGTCTAACAGATGTTCTCTCTAAATAGGCGTTGGCACTTCTTAGAAAGGAGTCATCCCTGTTCGAAGAGAATAAGTTAATCATGTGGAAAGCTTTAGAGGGAAATGTCACTTCCTTTGCTTAAACCCACCCCCTCTTCACTCAATATTAATGAAAATCAAAGCAAGCAAACAAATACATTGACAGTAACTCTGACTTCACTTTTTTCTCTCTCTCTTCATCCCCTTCCCTCAATTACTTCCTTCTTTCTTTTAAGAATATTTTTTTCTAGTT